GCCCCCACTCCCCCCCCCCGTCCGCTCCTCTCAATTCCCGCAGCTCATCGGGGAAGGATCCCGCACGGATCGGCCGGGGAAACCCTCGGTTTAAGCAAGCTGCTTAATGTACCTTTCCATCCCCCCCCCCCCCCACACACTTCTTTTAAAGCGGATCCAGAGGGTACTAAGTCACCTCTTTTAATGGAACGAGATTAAGTGGCGTTTGAAAAGTTAATGAGAACGGCTCAGCGATGCGATGCTTTTATCTGTCATAAATTAATAAAACAAAAGTGAAGAATCGGAGAATAGATAGGTTAAAATTTAATGCAGAACCCTCCCTCAAAAGTTTCCAGGTAAAGAGTTCCCGAACCGCTGGGGTTACGGAGCAGGGGATGGATCCTTCCAGTCAGCACCTGGCTGGGGGGCCGGGGGGTCCTCCTGGGGTTCCCCCCTTTGTGCTATGGGGCTGAGGATACGTTGAGAATAAGCTCTGGAGCGGCGTGGTGCTGGGGGGGGACGTGGGCTGGGCGGTCACCGGGAGCAGAGAGAGGAGCTGGCAGCCCCCGCCTGCAGCGCTGCCAGCCCGTGAGCACATCCCTAAGCACAACATATATATTCCTCCTCGTTAAAGAGGTTTCCCCCCCTTCAACAGTTAGTGGCCCGTATATTGGAAAGTGATTCATCCTCCGCCAGTAATAAATATTATAAGGATGTACTTCCAGCCCGGATCCTGTTTTATGCTCTGCCTGCCCCTCGGCCTTTGGGTCCTGTGCCGGCGAGAGAAAGAAGTGCTCAGGGGGAACGCGACCACCGAGCATTTTCCCCCTTATTTTCAAAGCAGCTCCGCCGGGCCCAACTGTGCGGGGCGGGGGGGACCCCTGGCTGTAGCCCCCGGCCACCTCGCCCGGCCAGCTCCGCTCGTTTTTGGGGCAAATTCCGGCAGAAAGGGACATTTCCCCACCTTCGAAGGGGGGGGGGCGGGGGGGGGGGGGGGGGGGGGGGTCCGTACCCCTGAGCACCAGGGGTCACGGGATGCTGAGCACATCTGCCGGGCACCCAGCGGGACCCTCCCGCGCACCTCGAGCACTTTTCCCTGTTCATTTCGTATCCTCCGCTTTTCGGAGGATTGTTCCCACTTTTAGGAGTGTATTTGAATCCCGGGACACACAGCCGGCCAGGTCGCTGGGGGTTTGAATTGAGTGGAGTTTTTCTCTCTCCCACCCCCAGGAGTTTTCGTTCCCTCTCCCCACTTCCCAGCCTGCCCAAGGTGAGAGCTGGGGAAATGCCACGGTATGCCGATGTGCCTCGGAGGGAGGTGGGGCTTTTATGGACGGAGAGGTGGCGTCGGGGCTGGCAAAAACAAAACAACAGCAATTCAAACAAGCAGGCTCCGGGCTGCATCCCCACGAGATGGATGTCGCTTGTCACCCAGATCCTCTGCTGTCCCCGGGGTTGCCAGCTCCGGGTGGGGAGCACAGCGGCCCTACCAACCGCCGTGGCCGTACGATCACCCCGCAGCCTCGTGGTTCAACTTTCTCCCCTTAGAGCAGGCAAAAAGGCACCTTTCAGCTCCACACTATTATCCCCCCTCCATATCGTTCTTCTCATTCATTCGGTTTCACGAACGCCTGCTTGTTTTCCCTCCCTTGCTGCTTGTCCCCCCGCAATCTCCCTCAAAGAGAGGCCGTTGTGGTGTCTGTGTGGGGGGGAGGGGGGTGGAGATAGATTCTGGGAGTCTGAGAGGAAACTCAGCGCTGATCCTGAGCAACCAAGCCGCCTCCTCCTCCCTTTGCAGGCACCAGGTAGCCGCTTTGCAGGCGGACCGGCGCTCACTGTTGTGTTTTAGGCGCTAGGGGTGCGGCCTGATTGATTCATCCCCCCCTTCCACGAGCCTAACGCTGACCTCCCCCTCCCCATGCCCTTGCAAGAAATCCGTGTACCGCAGGTGTAACTCTGACTTGCAAATGGCTTTATCTCTTGTGTATCTTATTTGTATATAGTAACGTTAATGAGTAACTCTTGTGGCGCTTGTGGATGGAGGTAAACAGCGAGCAATCTCTCTGGATTATCCTGTCTATTACTCACCTGGCGCCTGTCTTGATATCCTCAATGGTTTTATGGCTGATGCAGGCGACCCGGCGCTGGGTGGGGGGGGGGCTCGGCGCCGGGGGGGTCCGGCGGGGCGGCGGCGCCATCTCTTGGGCAGCCGGGGCAGTGCGGGGCGGCCCCGAGGGGACCTCAGGTGGGGAACGCGGGGACACCCAACGGGGATCTGGGTCCCGTGGGGAGACGGGGGGGGGGGGGCAGGGGAGGGAAGAATTGCCCTTCCTCCCTCGTCGGGCAGCGGATCTCGTGGCAGGTTTTGCCAGGTTTTACTCAAGGAATTTTGGCCGCCGGTGCAAAGTCTATGGGAAAGTGGGGCTGAAACGGTGGGATCGGCCCCGGAGAGGGGCAGTGGGGCCGGAGCAGCTCGGGGATGGGGGTGTGGGGCGATGGGAGAGGAACAGGAGCCATCTCTACGGGATCTGGCCGCTCCCGCCGCCGTCCTGCCGGGACCTCTCGGTCCACGCTCTGTTATTAGTTAATTATTGATTGATTGCAAGTGCAAATTTATGGCCCTCTTCCCCTCTCCCGGCCGCGGTGCACGGTGCGCTCCGGCCCCTCACACGCACACACTCCGCTGCCCTCTGCAAACAGCCGACGGGAGGCAGGTTGTTGCTTTTGGACTTGACAGCTAGCAGGAATATGAAATATTCGAGCCCTTCGGTCGATCCCCGTACTCTGGCCGCCCTTTTTTTTCCTTTCATGTCCCGGCTGGGGGGGCTCCCGCAGCCGACGGGCCCCTCACGCACTCGGGCTCACAGCGCGCCAGGCCTCGTAGATCAAAGAGACTTCGAGAGAAAGGTTTCCTTCTTTAAGGATTGTTCTGAAAATCTTG